AAATAAATGTAATAAATAAAAATAAATAAATATTTTAAAAAAAAAGACTTTTAGAGCTCATTGCATTATTGGTTTGGGAACAAATTGGATGGTTTATGGTTGGCATTGCCAACTTGATCATTACTGCCTTCTCTATTGATTGAAAATGTTCAGAATCTTTTGAGATAGATTTATTGTCATTTTAAAACACAGTTACATCATTAATAATTATTATAATAAAGTTAACATCAAAAATAAGGAAAGATGTTTTCTATGCATAGGAATTAACCTTTTCAGATGTTTTTATTGAGAATTTAAAATTTCTAACCCAGAATTAATGGAATGATTACGTCAACATCTAAAACCATCATTTATGTTTCAAGGAATGGATTTGTCTTTTGAAATAGTTTGCCATCAGTTCAAAGACTGAAAAGGTATTTTAGAAAATCTTAAAATGAAAACAACTTTTATTGTATGCTATATACAGTTAAATTATACTTAATTGATTGATAGGTTTTATAGGAGAACAAAGAAATTGGCAAACTTAAATTGAAAAGCTAATATAGGCTTTTAATATCAAGCATTCTTTCACCAAAAACTTAAGTTTACTATTAAGTTTTGATACCTTTATTTTAGTGATTAAAAGTATAAGCTTTAGAATGCTTATCATTTGAGTTCAGTGAAGCCAAAAATAAAATGGCCTTCACTGGAAGGTGATCACCATCGATCTCCTGACCAAGGCTAGGTCAATCCCTAGAGAGAACCTTTGCTATAGAGATTTTCGACACCTAACAAGATTTTTCTTGGGCTGGAGAGATAGCTCAGTAGAATAAGTGCTTGCCTGGCAAGCGCAAGGGCCTGAGTTCAATCCCCGCTTCTGCAAAAAAAAAAGAAAAAAAGATTCTTCTCATCCTTGGAAAGGTCAAAATTACAGATGGCTTTTTTTCTTTTCTGTACGATTGTATTTATCTTTCGAGTGTTTGACAATCTCAGATCCATTTATTAGTGCTGCGCCTTTGAGTCTCTGTTCTCGTGTGCATATTGCGGTGACTGGAGATGACTTACACAAGCCATGCGTATGGCTCTGTCCATACAGTGAGTGCACAGTCTGCTCACTTTATTGGGCGCTGCTTTGTTAACTAGCCATAATAAGTAAGCTTAAAAAAGAGGAAAAGAGTTTTACAACACTGATTTCCTTTCCTTCCTTGGTGTCTCAAATAATTAGTTGGTTAAATACTTTTCTTTTGATTTATGGCATCCTGGCTGGAGAAGTTGTGTCGAGGCAGCACAGTTTCCCAGGAGTGGCTTAGGACCCAGTGTTGCATTTTGGAACCAACGAAACATAAATTCCATGCTATAATCAGACTTCAAAGTATCAGAAAATGGGACTGTGTCAGGATTTTAAATCCATACTATTGTATCACTCAAAGACTAACATAAGGGAACTAAACAAAAAAAAGGGGATACAGATGAATGTCCATTTTGTATCTGTGTATTCAAAGTGGTTAGGATAGATACATAGTTACATTCTCTTAATGAATAAAGGGATTTGTTCTAATAGTGTTTGTAAATAGGATATCATGTCCGCATCTTGTACAGCAATTAACCACTAGGAAGAATGTATGCAATGTGTTAATTATTGAAACTGTCCTACCAATTTGGTTTGAAACTGTCTCATTGCTATTTGTTTCTCAATAAAATTATGGGAAAATAAAAAAGAAAAATGAACTTTTGCACAAGAAATTTGAATAAAATCTTACCAAAATGCCAAATAAATAAATAAAATAAAATAAAAGGCATTTCCATATTGGAAAAAAAATCAGGTTGTTATATATTATTTATAATACTCAGCTAACATTGTGCCATGGTTACACCTCATATTAATAAGTATGCTTAATGACTGTATGTGACCTATCTGCAATTATTTATAATTTATTTAACTGCTTCCACGTCACTATTTTTGCTATTAAAAATTACAATTACTTGTTTGACCATGAAAAAAAAAAAAACTAACATACATTTTTTTATGGTTGTATTTACTCCTACTATTTTTTAGAAAGGAAGGTGATATGTCAAGAATGTAAGATTGTTAAAAATCTGTATTTTTAGTAAGTTTTCTTTGAAACATTAAAATACTAAAGGAGGGAGGGAAAGAGAGAGGGGCAGGGCAGGGCAGGGGGAGAGGGAGAGGGAGAGAGAGAGAGAGAAAGCCTTGTAATCAGTCTGGCCTAGATTTGAATTCCCATCTGTGAATTTACGTGTTACTTAACATTCTAGACCTTTATTTTTCTCAGTTGTAAAGAAGGAGCAAGATATACTTGCCCCTTCAAAGTTATTGTATGAAATAGTATAGACAATGCGTCTAAGCTGTTCCTACTGTATTATAGACATTACTAAAATGTTATAACTGAAATATAATTTAGATATAATGAAATGTTTGAATAGTGCTTTGCCAAAAATGTGGGAAATATTTTTATGGAACCTATACTGACAGTCCTTGTCCAGTGACTGAGTTCAGTTCCTGAGACTTGGTCTCTAAATGAAAACTTGTATGCAGTACATACATTGTGATACTCGCAGCAAAGATATTCAGGCCAAAAGAAATTCCAACTTACAGGGTCTGGGGAGATGGCTCAGTAGGATAAGCACTTGACTGGCAAATGCAAGGATCTGAGTTCAATCCCCGGTTCCACCAAAAAAAAAAAAAAAAAGAAATTCCAACTTACCATTTTGGTTTTATTTGCATAAAACTTTTACATGCAATACAGTCATGTTTAACAATATAAAACTATAGTATAGTACTGTACACTACAATCAGTAAGCATTATAGTACTATATAAATGAGATGTACTGTACCCGAAAAAAGACATTGAGGTTCTACCAAAAAGATATACAGAATTATACAAAAAATAGATGGCTCATAAGTCAGAGCAGTGCACCTTGGCTATAAGTCCAAACAGTTGTTAAACAGGTAGGTTGTTAAGCATGGAATACCTGTATACAGCTTTCAGCTTGAAATGGGATACTTCTGTTTTTTCACCAACGCAAAGGTGAACTTTATTACTCCCATCTTGGGATATACTGTCAACTTCTCAGTACCAGAAATTGAACTCAGGACCTTGGGCCTCCCAGGCGGGTTCTTATGCCACTGAGCTATCTCCCTGGCTGCCAACGTCTATAGTAGTGAAGTTTTAACTAAGGAAATGTGAATTCTAAATTTCATAAATAAAACTGTGTCTTCCAGGTGAATGCATAGAAGGATTGCGGGAGAATGATTACCTTCTGATTCATTCGTGTCGTCAGTGGACCACCATCACTGCCCATAGTCTGGAAGAGGGCCACTACGTCATTGGGCCAAAGATAGAGATCCCAGTGCATTATGCAGGTAAGATTCCTCTCAAGTGGCAAGATAAGGCAGTGAGAGGAAGGGCACTGGAAGGGTTGAATTTTTCCTTCACAGTAGGTAAACAGACATTGTCTATAAACTAGACCAGGGGTAGCGAATCTATGGCACACATGCCTCACTAGGCTGTTTATATCATTAAAAGCTCTATGAGTTTCACCATCACTGAAACAGACAATGTAGTAGTTTTTTTGGTTTTTGTTTTTGGGTTTTTTTTTTTTTTTTTTTTTTGGCAGAACTAGGGATTGAACTGAGGCCCTTGTGCTTGCCAGGGAAGTGCTTATTCCACTGAGCCATCTCCCCGGCCCACAATGTAGTAGTTTAGAAAGAGAAGAATCAAACACTTTTGTTTGAGTATGGTATCTATCGGTGAAAGCTCAGATCCGTGTTGTCATCCATGTTTCTGACTAATGCAGCTAGATTTATTCATTTACTTATTTTGTTTTTTTGTTTTTTGCGGTACCAGGGATTAAACTCAGGACCCTGCACTTGCCAGGCAAGTGTTTATTCTGCTGAGCTATTTCCCTGGGCCCTTGCAGCTAGATTTATAAGATGAAGCTTTACAAAGACAAAGAACCTCTATGTAGTCTTAAGAGTTAAAATCGATATGAGTTGCCAACCTTTGAGCTTCACATACTTGTGTCCTGTGCAACTTTGTTTACAGCTTCATTGTTGAATGATTGTAATGCAGTGATTTCAACAAGCATTGTTATTTGGTTTTAGAAGTACTGGCCTTTTGTTTACATAAGTTTGTAGAATAGGTTCCTCTTTCCAGATAGGCTTGTGGGACACTGTTCTATGACCCCAATGTTCTAGTTAGGTGATGATCACTGCCCTCTCACCTCAACAATGCCATTTACAGATTTTTATTGAGTACGTTCTATGGCCAGCACTGAATGTAGGATGTACTGTGTATAGCAGTAGATTGAATAAACTTTCAATAGTAGTAGCTTACAAATATGTAGTTTTTTAAAAAGTGTGTTTCCCTACTTTTCATCTGACACTTATTGTTCATTATATCAAAGATCTTAACATTTTCTTCCATTGTTAATTTTTCTAAACTTCTATATAGCAAGGTATTTTAGTCAATTAACTGTTTATTATATAGCTCTAGGCTACCATATTGTTTTTGATTGACCCCCTGTAACACTCACCAAGTTGACCATTCAGACAAGAGCCTACTGTACTCCCACAGTCTGTAGCAGTAGCCTGTGGTTTGTGTTCAGTGAGTGTTTAATGAATGTATGACTGCTCGGGTACCCTTTCTGAGTCCCAGGAGTCTTTAATTCCTGCTCTGACCCAGGGATCACTGAGCTTCTCTTAAAAGTATAAGAGAATTTCTCTATCCTAAAACTTTGTCCTCTAGAAATATATCCCTAGCATTTTTGAGTAGTCTTTATGGAAGACTGGAAACTAAGCTCCAGAAAGGTTGGTGTGCACAGGGTTAGGAAGCAGGCGAAGGGGGCAGGTCTCGCAGTGGTAGGGCACGTGACAGGCACTCTGCGTGCTCAGTCTCTCCTCCGTGTGGTTCTGCAGCAGGTGAGCGCTACGTTACCTTCAAACAGACTCAGACTCTGGCTTCCGCCTTTGTGGAAAACTGAAAAGATGGGTAAATCTCTACATTGCTTCATCCCATGAACAATTTTAGCTCCTCTGCTCTATCCTTCTATTAGTAGAATAAGTTTGTCTTTCCCCACAAACCATCGAGAATAGCTCTGTGAAATCAGTCTTGCCAAAGGAAAGTTTTTGTTTGATCATTTCCTCTCATCTCTTCAGAGACCCTGTACTGCCACTGGATTATTTGCCTTTTTATTTAGGGCCCCCCAGAGTTACAACTTTCTGCTCTGAGGAGGCAACCGTCCAGTCAAGCCAGGTTAGTCAGGTCACTGCTTCCTGAGTTCACTGCCACTTTTCTATTAATTCCATCAGCCCCTCTGCCGTGCTGCTGCTCGGAGTCTAGTTGGATGGGTAGGACAGGACACAACACAAAGGTTCACGACTGCCCTGGTAGAGATTGCTCCTCCTGTTGTACTTATTGGCGGTTACGTTTATTTGACACACATCATTACCTTTTGTTCAGTTACCTCTTCCTGCATGCACACACGCACCTCCCATCATTCTCAGCATTTACTTTTGTATCAGTAGCCATGCAGCTTCCACTGGAAAGAACGTCTTTTCCTGAAACTTAGTCTTTGTTAGAAAGGAGGAAGATGGTACACCTAGTTGGGAAACCAGGCATCGTGTTGCAAAAGATAGATATAGATATAGATATAGATATAGATATAGATATAGATATAGATATAGTATGCTTTTTAGATGAAGTTGATGCACCAAATGAATGTAGACCCTGAAAGATCACATCACTTTACGTTAAAGACAAGAGAACAAATTAAAGAAAGAAAAACTTGGAGCAGGACCAGATGATTTATAACATCATTTGCCATTAGGCAAAATAGAATGCATGGTTGTCGTAGATGTCAATCTAAATTTTCTGAGCTGTCTTCCAGAATGCTTCACCAAGAACCTTAGGTAGGAATTTTGAAATATAAATAGATACTGTGGATTATTTTGTTTCAGGCCCTCACCCTTAAGAGAGTACCAAGAAACTTGCTTTACAAAGAAAAATTTAGTGATTTGCTTGTTTTTTTTTTTTTTAAATGTAATAGTCTAACAGATAAATCTGAGGGAAGTGTGCTGTGATTACACTGGCAAAGTGAGACGCGTGTGTATTGGTGCCATCAATGGAGAGAGGCTTTTGTTTTGTTGCTTGGGGTTGTTTTGAAAGCAGGTCTTGCTGTGTTGCCCAGGGAGGTCTTGAAATCCTGGGCTCAGTCTTCCTGCCGTGGTCTCTAGGGCAGCAGGACAGCTGAGCCCAGCTAGGATGGCATGCACTTTGTTTCCAAGGATATACTTCTTAGGAGTTTCAGCCCTCAGAATAAAGATAGCACCATGGAGACCAAAAAGATCATTTTATGTCTCTAGTTTTATTTGTGCTCTTGTTTTTATTAGTAGAGGAAAGCCTTCATCTAAGTATGTATTAATTCCATATAGAATTTCATCTAGGTTAAGGTTAACTGTCAATTCTTTTTAAAAAATTAACAAACCATTAATAGTTAAATACATCAATATAGTAATAGTAGAGTCCACCACCTTTATAATAATTAAAAAAAAAAAAACTTAGCTGGATTCCTTGTTCTGTCATTGACTGTCTGTATTACTTTGGGCAAGTCACCAGACTCTAAATCTTACTTCCTCATGTGAAAAATAGAGCTAGTTATAGTATCTTTCTCCTAAGGTACCCAGGAAGGTTAAAAGAACTAATTCAAGTGCAACACCTTTCAGAGTGCTTGGCACTTAATAAGAGCTCCATAGATGCTGGTTAGTAGTGATAATCATGAAAGTGATACTAAGAGTGTGTCAAAAGATTTAATTATTTTATTATCTTGCACTATTCATTTCATGCAGGTTGAATTCTTTTTCTGCTCATTGAAGCCAACTGAACATTGATTCAGTTGATACCCATCAAAATTATTTTGGCTACTATTGTTTATTATTATTTTTGTTTTGTTTTGTTAGATTTTTGAGGATGTTGTAAGCCTTACATTTTGAGTATATAGTAATATACTCCTTTATCCAGTTTTGCTGCTGTTATCATCATTTGCCATGTGTGATTTACCTGCCCCACAGGTACGTGCAAACATATACACATTTTTCTTCTGGATTATTTGAGAGTAGACAGCATCCCCTAATACTTCCCTTGGAATCTCCTAAGAACAAGCTATCCTCTTATATAACCACAAAGCTGCTACAAATCCAGGACACTCAATACTTTAATCTGCAATCTGTTCCTATGTTGTCAACTATGCCAAGAGTGTCCTTTATTGCACATTTTCCCTCCAGGACAGCATCCAGTCCAGGGCCACTTACTGTATTTTGCTGTCCCGTCTCCTTTGCCTGCTCTTCTCTGGGGCAATTCCTCGAAGTCTTCAGATTTAGTGACACAGGTGTTTTTGAGGCATACAGGCAGGTCCCTCCACAGAGCGGCTCTTGGCTTTAGCTTCCCTGCTGCTTGGGATGAGGGTCTGGCTCTGCACTTGGGGCTGGGTTGCTGTGTGTGTGATGTGGTGCCCTCAGGAATGACATCGCAGGGCGAGGGAGGTCTCCTTGCCGCCTGTTGATGTGACAGTTTTGATCGCTGGCTTAAACTGTCTGATGTCTTTGCAATCACCATTACTAGGATAATTGGAAAGGATGCTGCAAGCCTCCACCCTGCTCCTCTGGAGCTTCCTGTCCTTCTACTCCGCCCTGCTGAAGCAGTTATAAACGACTTCTGTCAATGTTGATTTTTGTTGTGAAGATGGCAAAGCAGTGCTTTTCTACTTTAGCTGTCTCTTTCCTTCTATTTGTTAGTCTCTGTCCTGCCGTAGACTTTGATGAAAACTAGTCTCTGTCCTTGCTTCTCCACTTACTTACCTGCTGTGATGCGCATGACCAGAGGGATTTAATGTCTTGAGGGAATATACAGTGTGTTAATGTCCTTAATGCTAATTCTCACATTTGGCCATTGGGGCACAAGGTGGCACCTTATGGACTTGCCCTCTTCATTTTTTTCAAGTATGTCCCTGCTTTCTGGCTTAGATATCAGGCATTCTTTTTAGGCAGAGCTGCCACACTGTCCTGTTCCAGAAAGTTCTCCCTTGGTGGCCTTGGCAGACAGAATGTCGTAGAGTTGGGCATTGCACAGCCCAGGCAGCCGCACACAGAAGTTGTTTTCATGCATTTCCTAGAAAGTGGTGAGACTCAGCAGCACTAAGAAATCACAATTGAGAGTGCCTTTTCATAGTCTGTACCAGGGCTGAGGCCATAGCTCAGCAGCATAAGCACCTGCCTGACAAGCACAAGGTCTTGAGTTCAATCCCTGATTTAAAAAAAGAAAAAAAAAAAAAAAAAACTTGCTTTGTGCCAGATTTTCATGAAATCCA